TTCTCCTCCTTCTCCTCCCCTTCATTCCCCTCCCCCGCCTCTCCTCCTCCTCCTCCTCCTCCTCCTCCTCCTCCTCCTCCTCTCTTTCTCCTCCTTCCTCCTCCGCCTCCAGGAACCCCCGAGTGTCTGTGGGACGCCTTCCGGACAAACTCCTCCTCCTCCTCCTCCCCCTCCTCCTCCTCCTCCTCCTCTCTCCTCTCCTCCCTCCTCACCTCCTCCTCCTCCTCTCTTCCACCTCCTCCTCCTCCTCCTCCTCCTCCTCCACGAACCTCCGAATGTCTGTGGGACGCCTCCGAAAACATTCTCCACAACTTTCCGAAAATTCTCGGGCTCCTCCTCCTCCTGCTGCTCCTCCTCCTTCCCGTCCAAATCGACCTGCTATCTCCTGAAGCGTGCTTTCGTTTCGTGGCAAGTCCTGCCGTGGCGACGAAAACTGCTTGCCAGAGGCCCAGGAAAAGGGCCAGACACAGTACAATCCCTTCGTCCTCCCTGGCACTCTCCAAAGATTTCTGGAGGTCTCCACCGGCCCCTGGGAGCTTCCACAAGTCCCCGGAGGCTCCGCGGAGGCTAGACAACCACGAGGAACGATCGACAGCGTCGAACCTCGATCCTCGAACCTCCTCCCCTCGACCCTCCTCCTGTGGAAGGCAAGCGTCACCAAGTGTGCCACTACGCCTCCGTCGGGAGCAAGGCAGACGGCACCCTGTCAGTGCCCCACTGGCCACCGGGGATGCCGCCGCGTGCCGGATGGCCAGGCCAGGCGGGTGGCCGCAGGCCCCGCGCATGCTCGCTCTACAGGGCGTTCGCCGCCTTCCTCGTCGTCGCCGCCTCGGCTGCACGCAGGAGTGACCTCAGGCCACGGGCCGGTGCTGGGGGATCACTGGGGGCCCGCACTAAGAGTCACTCCAGCGAAGGGTCAGCCTTACGAGTGCAGCCGCCGTGCTACCATCAGGAGCGCGGAATAGCGAACGAAGGGGCTTCTCCGGCCACGGCCGGCCCAGCACACAACAACGTCTTCCCCGACAGAAATCCACAGCGGTCCCTTTTTCAGCGTCTTGACTGTGTCTGTCGGCGGCATCATCTTCGGCACCGCCTGATCCCGAGGCTTTGCCTCCTCCTGGCCTTGACGTGAGGCCCCTCCTTCTCTCCCCCCCTCTTTGTTAATTCAAGCTTCGCGCGGCCCGCTTGGCTTCGACCGGAAGAGGTGCGCTCTCGACCCGCGAATGAACAAAAACTGTACCTGTCGGCGGTGGACAAACCTCCCTTTAGTAAACCTCCCCTTAGTGAAAACGGCCTGGGACCGAAACCGACGGACCTGGACCCGCAAAAAATGACGGCCGCGACAAGCCCTCTCGCGAACCGCAAGCGGCCGATTCCGTCGTCGACGTGCCAGGGTAGGAGGCCTATCCCCGTGCGAATCCGATGGTCGTCCTCCTGCTCATCGCGCGAGGTCCTGCCAGCAAGTCCGCCTCGCCGCCCCCCGGGCCGCCCAGGCCCCCGTGGAGCAGCCCGCCGCCGAGGGCGAGGGGCGCCGCGCAGAGCACCCCCGCCGCGCAGTACACGGCGGGGCCGGCCAGCCTGCGGGCGGCGGCGGCGATGCCGACGCCGCCGAAGCCGCGGCCGCCGACACCTCCGAACGGCCGCCGTCGACATCGCCGACGATGACGAGCCGCAAGCTTGGACAATGTCGGGGAACGAGTGACAGCAATGGTAAGGGCCACCCGAACGGCGATCTGAACATCACGAGGGTCCGTCGGAAGTCCAACGAGCCTGAGGTTTTTCGTTGCAGCAAGAGGACGGGCACGACGAAGAGCAAGAGTGAAAAGCTGGTGCGCCCTTTTCTCAGTATGTTGCGGAGACGCTGGGGGAACAAATACTTGACTGACATGACTGAGAACAGTAACCGTGTAGGTATTTTAAGCTTGGATAGATGGGACAACACAGAGACCCAAAGCACGGACTTGGTGGGTACGACTACCGAACTTAACCTCACGACCGGACCGTCAATGCCGAGACCCATTGAGGCCATCATATGTTCCTAAACACTTGCCGCTGTCAGAAACATGAAACCGACGGACACGAATACCAGCAGCCAGAAAGGGGCCCTGAGGAGCTCGCGAGACAAGGCCTTGGGGAAGATCATGATGCCCCTCCTAAGGTCGAGAGAGAGAGAGAGGCCGCTGTACCGCCAGACACGACTTAGGTCCCAGCACACGCCTGGGAGCACCTTAAAGATATCTGCCGCCACCAATCCTAGATCGACAGCACATTCAGGCACATCCATGGGCAGAGAGAGGCGACGCCGAAGTACGTACTTGTGAATGGGGCTCGGGATGAGGGCGAAAAGGATGCCAGAAATAGAGCAGCCCTGCTTCAGTCCTCTTTCAGCCCCGAAACCAAACTTGCGATCGTGACCAACTCTGATGCTGGTACACTCTCTGATGCAGGGGTTGCAGTGGCTTGCTGGCTGGAGGCAGGGATGTTCGTGCGTTTGAAGACTGCAGAGGTCCACGCAAGCGCATGGGTATAATAACGTACTCCAGATTTCGTAAAAAAAGGGAGGGGGTCTGGACCCTCCAAGACAAGCCATTTCAGACCTCCCCCGTGGGAGAACCCTCCAAAACATCGTCCCCAGACCCCCAAGGCCCTCCAAGATAGCCTGGAAGAGACCCCCCCCCCGAAATGAGACCCCCTCCCTTTATTACGAAATCTGGAGTAAGCAACCACCTGAGGTCTCGATGCCAACCCTTCGCCCAGCCAGAGGGAGCTCCAGCAAACCCGAGCACGCTGTCCAGCATCGAACGGCCTTCGAGAGTCGGCCAGCGGAGGAGGGGGAACTAAGCGCGCGGGCCAAGAGGGGGGGCGGACGCAGGACGAGGTCAGGGTGACTCGCCGGAGGCGCCCTGCCACGGGGATCTCTGCAGAGCGCCTCGGAGGAGGGGGAGGAGTAGGATGCAGAGGAGGCAGAGGAGCGACTAGGAGGAAGAGGCGACGGGGAGGAACTTCGCGAAGCGACTAGGAGGAAGAGGAGGAGGGGGAGGGGGACAAGCTAGGTGCGCTCGCGTCAGATCTGACATCCTACCCCTTTCTCCCATCCCTTATCATGGCGTAGATCCCCTCTCGACTCGCACAGTCGGATGTCGAGCAGGGCAATGATCCCGAAAGGGTATGCGATGCATTGTAGAGCACGACATGGCATGGCGTAGAAGAGCACCGCAAAGCGTAGTATGTCACAGCATGGTGTGGCGTGGCGTAGTGAAGAATTGCATCACAAAGCTTTGCAACGCAAAGCATGGCATTGCACAGCGGCCCCGAACATAACATTGCATAGCATGGCGTTGAAGATCAAAGCGTAACATTGCATAGCATGACGTGGCACTTAAGCACTGGATATGACAGCTTCAGCTGAAGGCATGGCATCGCGCAGCGGAACGCAACCTAGCATTGCATTGCATGCCGTGGCATGGCACGGGAAATGACGCCAGCGCTGCAGCGGGAGCACGATTCGGAACGAGCGGAAGCGCGGAAATGAGGCCAGCGCTGCAGCGGGAGCACGATTCGGAACGAGCGGAAGCACGGAAATGAGGCCAGCGCTTCAGCGGGAGCACGATTCGGAACGAGCGGAAGCCCGAAAATGAAGCCCGCGCCTCAACGAGAGCATCATTTGGAAAAAAACCCAAGCGAAAACCCAACTCCGGGAAATCCTGTGTAAAAAACAGTACGCGGAGGGGTGCCCGCTATCTTCCGCGCGCCATCAGGGGATGGAGGAGAGTAGTATTCATATTGTGTAATTGTGGAGGCAGAGGAGGGAAAAGGGGAGGAGCACCGCCCCAATCAGCGCAACGGGTCGTGACTCCCCCAGGGACGGAATCCCCGCCCCTCCAACGAGCTCGGCCACCAACCCTGCGTGCGGCACGAATTGAGCCAGAACGTAACACGCCGGAGACGAGCGCGCGCGTTCGTGAGGGAGAAGGAGGGGAAAACGGAAGGGAAGAGGAGAGGGAGAGGAGAGGGAGAAGGAGGGAGAAGGAGGGGGAGAAGGAGGGGGAGAAGGAGGGGGCGACGGAGGAGGGGGAGAAGGAGGAGGGTCCGAAGGAGAAGGGGGAGAAGGAGGGGGAGAAGGAGGGAATGGGAATGACGGGGGGGGAGAGGAGGGTCGGGAGAAGGTGGAGCCTCCAGAGGTCCCCCTGGAGGCCCCCCAAATATTCCAGGTTGCATTCCGGATTGGTAGCAAGAAGCATGGGCAGACCTGCATCCTCGATCCTCGTCCTCCCTCCGCGAGGGGGGCACGTGAGGAGCAGCATGGAGCCAGCAACGTGCACCACGCGACTGCAGCCGTTCGCGGCCTCGAGTCGCGAACACTCGGGTGCAGAAATTACCCGGGCGAAGAGCCCAGCCCTCTAGCAGCTTCGTGCAACTCTGATGCCGGACCTCCTCCGCCGGGGGGGGGGGGGGCTGCCGAGGGGGAGCGATCCGAGCGAGCTGGTGTGCCAAAATGGGAAGCGGGTTGTGCCATGTGGGCGCGCGCACTGAGGCGTGGGGTGCAGCTCCCTGCGGGGCACGATCTGGGCAAGGGAGGGGTGCGCGGGGGCCCGCGTGCGCCCTCGCCCACGACACCGCAGGAGGAGCTCACTGCGGGGCACTGCGCCCACCGAGGCCTTCGGGCGGAAACTCCCTGTGGGGCATGCTCTGCGTGAGGGTAGGCGCCGAGATGGGCGCGGGTCTGCATGCGTCCGCGCCCACTGACAGCGTGTGGACGGAGCTCCCTGTGAGACGTGGCTTTCGTGCGGGGTGCCACCGATCCGGACGCCCTTCCCAAGCCGAGTTGCACGCTGAGCTGCCTCCCAAATCTGGTACGGGCGTCCGCTGAACGCGGGTGCGGCCAGGCTTGCACTCGGAACCCGTCCATCATATCCGCCACCGTGCCCTTGAGGCACGCGTTGGAGTGCTCTCAGGTCCACCGCCTAGTCCCTGAAGCCTCAGTCCTCAATCCTCGAGATTCTTCAAGAGGCCCACAAATCTTCCCTTGAGGCACGAGCTGGAATGTTCTCAGGCCCACCGCCTAATCCCTGGAGCCGCAGTCCCCAATCCTGGAGGTTCTTCGAAGAGGCCCACAGATCTTCTGGAGCGCGCCGCGTGGCTCTTGGAGCTGGGGGCGCCCTGTCGCGTGACCTTTGCGGGCCCCAGCAGAGCTTTGACACGGAGGAGGAGGAGGAGGAGGAGGAGGAGGAGGAGGAGGAGGAGGAGGAGGAGGAGGAGGAGGAGGAGGAGGACGAGGAGGAGGAGGACGAGGAGGAGGAGAGGGCCCCGAATCACCGCACGATCGGTGCAAGACGCCCAAGATGGTCGCAAGACGGCCCAAGGAACCATCGAGGCGGGCCCGAGTGGCCAACACCATTGACTGTTCACGTGGTTTTTCAATATTTTGTGGCTTCAGCTGATCGAGTTTCCGACGCTCCAACACGTCCAACAGGAAGCGCCCCAAACCGCCCCAATAAGCTCCAAAGAGGGCCCCCCATACGGTCCAAGGAGGCTCCAATACGGCCCCGGAGTCGCCGAGGAAGGCGGCCCAAACACAGCCCCAAGGGCCCAAATGGGGAACACGAACGGAAAATCCGAATCTTCCGCCCCGAGAGGCTCCCAGGAGGCCTCAAGGAGGCGTCAAGACACCCCCAAGAGACCCCAAAGGACCACCGATATGGTCTCAAGACGCCCCCACATTCCCTCCAACGGCTCCCAAGACGCCTCCAAACGGCCCCCATGAACCCCCCACGCGACATCCCTATGAACGTCCTGGAAGCCTATGATCCACAACGGTGGCGGGATGGGCCGAAGGCCATGAGATAATAACAATGATGCTCTCTCTCTCTCTCTCTCCCTCTTTCTTGCTCCTCTCCCTGTCGCGCACTCTGTATCTGCGATTTTCATGCTCCTGCCGCCCCTTCTTCCCCCCAAGCACTCCTGCCTCTGCAGGACGGCTATGTTCAGGAAGCCAAGTCCAGTGGCAACCGCGGCGGCCACCAAAATGAGCGGCCATGCGTTGCGTACGCTGACAACCCAGAGCCACACTCGTGAGGCTATGCCGTCCTCGGGGCGCGACAATGAGGGAGAAGAGGGAAGAGAGAGGAGGGCAGTGTACAGAGTGTTCAAATCAGGATGGGGAGGAGGACAAATGATATGATATGATGGTGCTGCTCGTGGTAACGATGGTCATGATGACGATGATGATGATGATGATAATGAAGATGATAAGGGACCTGAATAGGAAGACGTTGGCGGTTATGCTGATTTTGATGGTAATGCTGATGATGGTGCTGTTTTTTTGTCGTCCTTCCTCCCCGCCATCAGGCGCCTGCGCAGCCTCCGCCCGCGCGCGACCGCTCTGGTCGAAACCGCTCCTGTCGAAGCCGCCCAAGATTTTGCCGTCCTTGTCGTAGCCGCTGGTATCGTAGCGAAGTCTGTCGTAGCGGGCAACTGCGTCGTAGACGTCCTTGTGAAAGGCCGCTCAGGTAGTAGCCAAGCCTGTCCCAGCCGCCCCTCGAATAGCCGCTTTTGTGCCGTTGTTGTCGAAGCCGTCAGGTCCGCGCCGGCGAGGGTCAGGTTGGTAGATCGCGTCGAAGCCGTCCTTGTCGTAGCCTCTGGAATTGTAGCCGTGCCTGTTGTAGCCGCTCTTGTCGTAGCCGCGCTTGTCGTGTCCGTCCATGTCGTACCACTTTTCGAATAACCGTTCCTGTCTTAGCCGCGGAAATCGAAGCCATCCTTGTCGTAGCCCTTCGTGTCGAAGCCGTGCCTGTTGTAGCCGCTATTGTCTTAGCCACCCTTGTCGTATCCTTCCTTGTCGTAGCCGCCTTTCGGGTAGCCGTTCTTGTCGTAGCCGAAGAAGTTGTCACCGTCCTTGTCGTAGCCCTTCTTGTCTAAGTCGTACTTGTTCTAGCCCGCGGAGTCATAGCTGAGCTTGTTGTAACAGCTCCCCGTGTAGCCGTTCCTGTCGAAGCCACTGCTGTCGTACCCACTGCTGTCGCAGGCGCAAGAGTTGTCGCCGCGTTCGTTGTAGCCCTGCGAGTCGTAGCCGAACATATTGTAGCCGTTGTATGTAGTCGAAGCGTACGGCACTGTAGCCCTCCTTGTCGTAGCCGCTCCTGTCGAAGTCGCGCTGGTTGTAGCCGCTGCGGTCGTTGCCGTCCTCGTCGAAGCCGCTCGTGTCGAAGCCGCAGGCGTCGTAGCCGTCAATGCTGTAGCCGTTCCAATCGAACCCGTGCTCGTCATATCCGCTGCGGCCGAAGCCTTTCAGGACGTAGCCGTCCTTGTCGTAGCTGCGGCTGACAAAGCCTTCCTTGTTGTAATTGGAGCCGTGGCCGTCAGCCGCCTGTTTCGAAGTCGTCGCTCCTGCTGCCATTGGAATCGTGGCCGCCGACATGCTGGAGTACAACCGCGTGTGTATTGTACTGGTACGTCGCAAACGAAGGAAAGAACGGAGTGCCAGGAAGACCAACCTCAGGGAGAACATAGCGAGGACCTTTAGGTAAAGGGAACGCCAGGGCCCTGACCGCCAGCGCTTGAGGCACCAGGTAGCGCACTACTATGACCACTCTCGAGACCACCAGGCGCAAGCCGCCGCCTAGGCGGGCCAGGTCCAAGAGGAAAGTTGCCGTCAGCATGCCCATCTGATCCACCTGGGCCGCCACGTGGACCAAAGCCAAGGCCAACACCGAGATCAGGAACTCCATGGAAAGGCGGATAGTGTCCATTCTCATGATCGGCAACACATGCGCGCACCGCCCTGTCTTCAAACACCGCAACCACGAGCGTCGCCAGTGGCTGGGAGCGCGTGATCGGGCCGGTGAGATCATAGATGATCTTGACCTGGTGCATCCCAGAGGCAATGTTGAAGGACACAGTGATGAGCATCTTGACACTATTTCCGAGGAGTTGACGCAAGAAGCGTGCCACCACCGCCATCGCGAGGAGCGCGACTGCGCCGTGAAGCAACGAAGACAAGCACCTCTGGCAGCTGCCTTGAGGCACTGGCCATGATGATGACGATGAAGATGATGATGAAGATGATGATGATGATGACGATGATGATGACGATGACGATGATGATGACGATTATGATGACGAGGAGGTGAAGGAGGGGAGAGGAGGAGGTTTTTTTGCTGTGGACCATTGCTGAAACGTCTCCCGACTGGACGAAGCAACAGGCTGAAACATTGCGGGGGCACTGGCCCCTACTTGCCGATGAAGTCCTCGTGCCGAGCCAAAGCCTAAAACGAGGAACATGCAACCGACTACGAAGCGTGCCAGCAACGCCCCCATTGAAGCAGAGGGTGCCGCCCAAGGTGAAGCCGAACAGGAAGGACTTCAGCTCGAGCTGCACTCGCACACTCGTGTCCAACACCAACCTCGAAATTGGCGACGAGGTCGTGAAAGTCTATCTGGTCAGCAAGCGCAAGCGAACCATGGGCCGGCCGCAGGAGGGGCGAAGCGCGCCACGACGCGTTACGATATCTCGGCTCGAGGCCGAGGCGCCTCTATTGACGTAGTGGAACCTGCGTGGACACGCATTTGCTGAAGGCGATGATGTCCTTCAACACCTCACGTTCGTCGTAAACCGCCGCCCGAACCGATCCCCCACTCGCTGAAGCTGAAATCGCACTCGAAGCACGCACACCTCCAGGCAGAGTCGGAGAATCACCACTACCACAGTGCTCGTCCAAACTCTCCTTCCTCTGGCCGCCGCAATCGTCAAGTAATGAATTATGAACTCCATCATCTTGTAGGTCCCGTGCAGGAAACTGATCTTCAAAAACGTCGACCTGCAGAGTTCCAGCTCCACCTCCTTCTTCCTCACAAGACAGAGCTGGTCCATGAACGCCGGGAAAATGGAAATCCCCCTCGGCGATGTTGTACTGCTCCACGGTCACGCTCGATGGGTCTAAGCTGACGGACCCGTCGACCACCTCGTACAAAGTCTCCAGCTTCCCGTCCGCGTGCTGCCTAACTCGGGGGCGTCGCCGCACGCGTCGCCTCCTGCCGCGGCGGCGGTGGCGGAGGCGGGAGCCGCGGCACCGGGCACCTCCTTCACGACCTCCTTCACCTTGTCGCTCGTGAGCGCCCCCTCGATAAGCGACTTCGGCGGAGACGCAGGCCGAAGTATCCGAGCACGCGGCGCGGGCGGCGGCAGGGCCGTCGCCGAACGGATCGTCTGCTGGAACTTGACCGCGCTGATGCTTACCCTTTTGCTGCTCTTCTGCCTCGCCCCCTGCTCGAAAAACTTCTCGCCCTTCTTCTTCTTCTTCTTCTGGCGCCCACTCTTCACGCGCCGCATGCTGCTGGACTTCTTGCCCAAGGCCGTGGAATCCTGCAGGTGGATCTGGTCGGGTGCGGAGGTGAAGGACGGGTACTGCGGGTACTGGTACGAGAGAGGCGTAGTTGCCATGTGCAGCTCCTGGCACGAAATGTCTCGCGGCCGACTCCGTGCTCCCAGCCATGATGTTAGGGGGAGTGCTCCACGAAGGTCAGACGGTCGAACCCAACCTCGCAGCGGACGGGGAGGGTGAGCACCAGTCGTGCACTTGTAGCTTCTGCGCCATCACTTCGTATGCGAAGAAGAAGAATAAGAATATGAAGAAGAATAATAAGACTAACAATAATAATACTACTACTAATAATAACAATAAGAATAATAATACTAAGAATAATAATAATAAGAATAATAATAATATGAATACTAATATTAATAATAAGAAGAAGAGCAAGTCCCTGGTGTTGACCCACGATGCGGCGGGCCCTCAAGCCCAGCACAGCACACTGCGGGTACAGCCCAAGGGCGCCCTGGCCGCGAGCACCGAACCCCCCGCGCGCCCAGGCGCGGCCGATCCCGTGCCGACTCGAGCCAGAACGGCGGCTGGAGGGGGGAGGAGGAGCGAGGAGGAGGAGGAGGAGGAGGAGGAGCAGAAGGAGGAGGAGGAGGAGGAGGAGGAGGAGGAGGGGGAGGAGGAGGGGAGGAGGAGGAGGAGGAGTGAGGAGGAGGAGGAGGAGGAGGAGGGGAGGAGGAGGGGGAGGAGGAGGAGGAGGGGGAGGAGGAGGAGGAGGAGGGGGAGGAGGAGGAGGAGGAGGAAGGGGGGAGGAGGCATAGTTGATGAGAAGGAAAGTCACAGGAAAATCAATGACAGAGATTGCAGAGCGCTGCGTCCACGATACGATGTCGGGAACCTAGCCGCTGGCCCCGCGCCCTCCTGCACGAGTCTTGTTTGGCCACCCTCGGCCTCGCGCCAGAAAATGCCTCGGCGAAGCTGCCCAGACTTGGGCCGACGCAGAAGCCCTGCGCGGTGTCCGGGGCCGACGAGGCCCCCCTCCGGACGAGCAGCGCGGGCCTGGCCTGGCGCCAGCTAGCCCTGCAAGGCCGCTGCAGTCTCACTCGACCTCGATGACGGCGCCTATTTCCACCGCGACGCCCAGCGGCAGCGAAGTGTTGCCCACCGCGAAGCGGCTGTGGGACCCGACCTCCTTCCCGAAGACCTCGACGAGGAGTTCGGAGCAGCCGTTGATCACCTGGGGGTGGTCCGTGAAGTCTGGCGAGGAGTTCACGAAGCCCTGCACCTGCAGGATCTGTTTCACCTTGCCGAGGTCGCCGTCGCAGGCCGACTTCATCTGGGCGATCAGGTTGATTGCGCACAGGCGGGCGGCAGCCTTACCCTCGTCGATGCTGTAGCCTGCCCCCAGCGTGCCCGTCAGCAGGGAGTTGTCCTCCCCCCTGGGGATCTGCCCTGAGATGTACACGATGGTCCCGGCCTTCTTCCAGGGCAAGTAGCTGCCCACGGGGGCCACCGGCTTCGGGATGGACAGGCCCAGCTCCGCGATCCGCTGCTCCACGGCGGTCGCCATGGCCGCCCCTGGCGCGCGGCGGCCTGACGGTCGCGCGAGGTCTTGCCCAAGGGCAGCGGGCGGCCCACGGCGAAACCCGGGGAGCCCAACGACCATGAGGGTGAGAGGTTGCGGAGAAGGAGGGTGTCCTTCGATATCATCGGGCCCAACTTCAGGACAAGGGGTTGGAGATCAGAACGAGCGCTGGAAATAACATCATATCAAATGATGTGGCGCAATGCCCAAGCTGACCGCCACATCTCCAGATGCAGCTGAACCTGGCCTGCGACAAAGGCAAGGGGCATCCTTTCCGTTTCCGGAGGATGCCAGGGAGGAGGACGATGTGGGCACCCATTTCTACATAATGAAGCTGCACGACTAGTCACCGCTTCACAATCCACCGCCTACTCGTCCCCTGCCGGCCACCCGCTCGTCCACCACCACTCTCTTGGAGAGGTCGGGGCCGAGCGCGCGATCGGAGCCGCTGCGCTTGGAGCCAGGAAGAGATGACTCAGCACACCCTCGGTGACCAGTGGCAGAATTGAAGCACGTGCAGAGTTTCAGACGAGGTTTTGCCCAGCATGACGTCCGCTTCCCGCCACAGTTTCTGCTTGAACCCGATTGCGTGTTTGGCCCTAGTTGGCATTCGGCCTTGAGTGCAGCTGCTACGACGGCATGTTAGCTTAAGTGCTGCAATGGTTGCAGGTGGCTGGGGACCCTCGGTGGGTGGACAAAAAGTGTCCACACCCATCGCGCCAATATGATACGACATCGAACTGCGTCGAACAAATATCCATCGCCACCGCCCCCCCCAACCCAAAGTTGACGGGGTTGGGTGCGAGGCAACGCGCGGGGGACAATTCAGCTTTGGGTTTGGGGGCGAGGGGGGGCGAGCCACGTGTACACGGCAGTTGTCGCTGCCATCATGCCTGATTGCCTTCACGCCCTCGGCGTGGACACTTTTTGTCCAGGCACCGCTCCTTCCCCTCAGGACGATGCTTGCACCGAGGTTTCTTGCTCGAGTTTTCTGCGCACGCTGCCGAAACAATAAGGCGACCAGAGGCCTTTGACCATCCTGTCGAACGAGACGTGTTTGCTCGACAGGCGCGCGCGCTTGGCCCGCATGGCCTCGTCGAGACCGCGCGGGCCACAAGCGCGCGCATGTCGATAACGTTTTCCAACCATCGCGCGCCCGCCGGCTCTGTCAGATAGTACCGCGCGGACCACGCGCGCTCGCCTCCGCGCGCGCAAGCCGAAATCCTTCCAGACCATTTTTTGTCTGAGCATTTCTCCATCACATAGGTCTTCAAGCGCATACGAAAACCCAGCGGTCTTGCAAACGCGCATGCGCGAATTCGGAATTTCTGCGAGCGCGCACTTCCTCGCCATCCCCACCAACACAATCGTTATCATCATCGTCAACGTCATCACTGTCATCGTCATCACCATCATCACCATCGTCGTCGTCACCATCACCGCCGCCGTCATCATCGTCATCGTCGATGTTGTCGCCCTCGTCAATTTTCTGCGCTCGCGCAATTCCTCATCACCATCACCATCACCCTCATCGTCATCATCATCACCATCATCACCACCACCATCATCACCATCACCATCACCATCACCATCACCATCATCATCACCATCACCATCACCACCACCACCATCACCACCATCACCACCATCACCACCATCACCACCATCACCACCATCACCACCATCACCATCACCATCACCATCACCATCACCATCACCATCATCATCATCATCATCATCATCATCATCATCATCATCATCATCATCATCATCATCATCATCATCGCCAGCGTCAGCATTGCCACCGTCATTGCCATCACGATCAACATGATCATCTTTATCATCACCCCAATCGTCGTCGGTATCGTCCCCATCGCCGTCATGAACATCAGCATCGTCATCGTGGGTGGGCGGGCGTGATGTTTTCACGAGCGTTGGAAGTGGTCACGCGCGGATGCTATCAACATTCAGTACACCACACAGCTTGCGTTCAACAGCCTGCATAGTATAACTTTTGCCGCACACCTTACACCACAGCGTTAACACCAGATAGCTTGCGCCACATATATTAATGTCAGCCATCGCAGACTCCAACTATTTCATAATACTGACCTGAAGTGGACTGGAGTGGATTGGACAGACTGGGCTGGAGTAGACTGAGCTGGACTGGGGTGGACTCTACTCCCTTCCACTCTACTCTGCTCTACTCTACCCTACTCTGCTCTAGCCCACCCTACCCTACCATAATCTATTTACTCTACTCTATATCTAGATCAAACTCTAACTTTACTCCTACCCTTTTCTAATCAATTGCCCTCTACTCTAATCCACTCTCCTCGTCTCTAATCTATTCTGCTCTGCTCTACTCTGCCGAGCTGTAATTCTACCATCTACCACACTCTAGTCTACTCTGCTCTACATTGCACTACCTTACCCTACCCTACCCAGCTCTACTCTATCCCTATCCATTATTTGAATCTACTCCCTCTCTGCCACCTAGCCCGCCGACAACACTTCAATCCTGGTGGTCCCATCCTGCCCCTCCAGAAGCAACACAGCATCCAAGTTTTCCCGCCTAGGCATGGGCATTTTTCTCGTCCATGTTGCCAAGTGCGCGGCAGCCCCGCGCGAAAGCCCGACATGTTGCTTGGCGGCGCGCAGAGGGGGGTAGGGGGAGGGGGGAAGGCTTCTTAGAAGGAGGCTGCTCCTTAGAAGGCGCCGGCCTTGCATTTGTAGACAAGGCCCGCGCCTTCCCTTCTAAGAAGCAGGGGTGCTTCGAAGAAGCCTTCCCCCCTCTATCCCTACCCCCCCTGGGCGCGCCGCCAAGTTGCTCTCGCCTCGGCGCCGCGCTGCCTTTTCCTCCAGAGAGCCGGGCTCCCGCCCGCGCGCGGCGCACATCCTCCGCGCGCCGCCCCGTCGACGCGCGAGCGGGCGGAGGGCGGACACGTCGCCCTCGCCTCGGCGAGGGCGCGACGCTCGCCTGGACATGGGAATCCTCGCCTCGAGGCGGCACAACTGTGAAGGGGCCCTGGGACACACAAACAAATACACGCAAATAAAAAGATTCCCCATATTATCCCATATTTTCTAGGTTTCTTGTCTTCCCCCCACTTCCCATGTTTTCCCAGATTTTCCTGGGAGTCGACGATTCATGATGTCTGTGTGTTTCTTCCTCTCCTGAAGCTGTGTCCCTCGCCAGCACTTGGGGCCGAAGGCTCGCACGAGGGGGCGCGACTCGCTGCCCTCGCCCGGGCTCCGTGCGCACTCGGGTCGGCGGTGGCGTGCCGGCGCTGGAGGCGGCGCACGGCTCGTGCGCCGAGGCGCCTGGCGCAACGACCACGGCCGCGGGGCCGCGCGCGAGCGGGCGGCACGCGCCGACCTCGCCCAAACGCCGCGCACTGTGCGAGTAAGGGAATGCAATGTCGACGCGGCGTGTGCTTCGTCTCCGTCGCGCCCGTCGGAGGCTTTGCCGCTCTCCCGCCCCTGCGCGCCCCGCGTACCTCTCTTCGCCAAGTCGGCGGGAGCGGGACCGCGGGCGAGCTCCTTCTGATTGCGAGGTGGGAGCGCGATTCAATCCCAGTATCAAGCTGGCCACATTTGACTCTTACGTTGTTGGAAGGAGGGTTGGAGTAGGCGGGGCCCTTTGACTCGCTCGACCTGGCTAAATTGTCTCCTACTCCTACTCTACCCCTATTCTACTCTACTCTACTCTACGCTACTTTTAATATCTTGTCCTCTTCTCTCCTCTCCTCTGCTCAACTCTGCCCTACTCTACTCTGCTCTGCTCCTTGCAGGTGAACTTCACACTGCGCGTCCCCAACCGCCGTTCGATTCAAAGAGTCGCCAAGCGAGCCAGCAACAACCCACGAGACGACCCGCGATAAGCAAGCTCACATGAGGTGAATCGTCGTCTGAAAGAGGGAGAGGGAGAGAGAGAGAGAGAGCACTCCACTCTACTCTACTCTCCTCTGCTCCATTCTGCTCTACTGTACTCATCTTCTGTTACGCTTAGAATAGGCATCGAAAAGAGTAGACTAGAGTAGAGAAGTTCTCTATACTCTACTCTACTCTGTTCGACTCTACTCTACTCTACTCTACTTCTGAATTTGACGATTGTTGGGCGATTGTTGGGACGCTGTTGGAATGGCCACAAGAAGCCTCTACTCCGACTCTACTCTAAACCACTCCTACTCTTCTCTACCCTCCTCTCCTCTCCTCTCCTCTCCGCTACTCACATCTGCTCTACGCTACTGTACTCTACTCTACTCTGCTCTATTCTGCTCTGCTCTACTCACTTAGTCTTCTCTACTTTTCTCTACTCTACTGTACTCTAGGTTGCTCTACTCTACTCGCCTAGTCTACTCATCTAGTCTACTCTACTCACCGTTGCTCTACTCACCTAGTCTACTCTACTCTGCTCTACTCTACTTCTGCGTTTCACGATTGCTGGAAGATTCTTGGGATGCGATTGGAATAGTCACAGGACGCCATTGGAATAGCAGAGGAAGCCATGCGGATAGCAGAGGGCGCCATGCGAAACAGAGGAGGTCATGCGCAACAGAGGACGCTTACAGAGGAAGCCATGTGCAACATAGGAAGCCACGCGCAACAGAGGACGTCTGTAGGAGCACATGATACCAGAGAGAAACCCCAATCATGATCTTTTTTGGGGTTATGGGGTTATGGGGCGATAGGGCTCTAGGGTTCTAGGACTATAGGACTATAGGGCTATAGGGCTGTAGGGCTATAGGGCTATACGGCTATAGGGCTATAGGGCTATAAGGGGTGTAGGGTTATAGGGCTATGAGGCTATGGGGCCATAGGGCTATAGGGCTATTCGGGATTATAGGGTTATAGGGCTATGGGGCCATAGGGCTATAGGGTTATAGGGCTCTATGGCTATTGGGCCATAGGGTTATAAGGCTATAGGGCTATGGGGCTGCAGGGCTATATGTCTATAGGGCTATAAGGCACCTGGGCGGGCAGCGGAAATCGGCGGCGCACCTAACCTAACCATATGAATCCGCTAGGACCTCTACATAGGCAAGCTCTGATTGGGGAACTAGAAGGCCATGCGGATGGCGGATTGAGAAATGCGCAGCAGAAAAAGCCATGTGCAACGCTTGTAAGGGCACCATAGCGGGGGGGACCAGTGGACCAGTTCTCTAAGTATGGAGCCAGGGCTCCTATAAGCAAGCCCGTTTGGAGAACGCTTGCACCACATAGCTTGCACCACATTGCTGCCGCCACATAGCTTGCACGACATTGGCTCCCCCACCTTGTCTCCGCCGCGCAGCTTGCACCATGTTGACCCCTCCACGTAACTTGCACATCATCAGCTTGGGGCTGGCGCGCCGTCAGGGGGCCCGCGCCGGCAGAAAAACCAGAACGAGGGGACCGAAAGGTCCAACACCGTCCCTGGGCGCGTGGCTGCAATGCGGCCTCGCGGTGCGGACTCATGTCCTCCCTCTTGTTGCCGGCCCGCCCCGCGACCCACCCGCGACCCACCCCTTGCCCCACCCGCGCCCCGCCCGCGGCCCGCCCCTGGATCCACCCCCGAGCCGCCTGACGACCAGCCTGCGACCAACCCGCGACCCAACCGCGACCCGCCCACCGACCCACCCGCGACCCACCCACGGCCCACCCGCGACCCGCCGCGCGACTCGCGACCCGCCGAAGATTCGTTCGCGACCCACCGACCATGCATCGACAAAAGAATGAGCGCCTGTGGCGGGCTTCCTCGAATTTGCATCCGAGCCTCGCAAACTTCCGACGACCCCCTCCCGCTTATCCGCAACTGCGGGGGCTACAATGTATCTTGTTTCTTCCGCTGCTGCTCTCACATGTTGCCGCATTCGGAGTTCGTTGGAGGGACAGGGTCGTTGTGCCCATTCCTTGTCGGCGACTGGGGCGTCTTCATGTGGTAATAAGCTGTATATGGTTTCTGTAGTGAGTGTCGCTGGCATTGGCTGTCACTTGCCGCTAGGCACCATACTGTGAATCTATATCCTCGTGCACTGGTTCTTCGTGTCTTGAGTCGCCTTGCCACTGCTGCTCTTCCCTTCCCCTCCCCTGGGGTTGAATAACGCCGTCCGCGTTTCTCCCCCGTTGCTCTCCTTTCTCCTCATTGTCGCTTGCAGTAGCTCCGCTTGCATTCGTTTCCTGCTCTCGCGCCCCATTCGTCAGCGTGGTTCCACCCAGGGCCTGAGTCTCAGCCCTGTGTTGGCCCCTCCTCGCGCCGTTGTGGGTTAGTTTGATACACAACATCGGCTGGCACCAGAAATTTAACGTGCGATTAATCCCACGTGTGCTTTCATTTTCGCCCACCAGGTGCTGCGCTTTGGTTCTGTATGCTAGCCCAGCGGCCTACAAGAGTCGCGTGAACAGTCGGGCATCGAGAACTTTGAACGCTTCCCTGCCAAGCTGTTAGCATTGTTATTCATGCCGCTCGCACGTGTATATATATAGATATATGTAAATATGGTCGGCATCTCACACTTATCGCTATACATCTTATTGTGCATGACTCTATATTGTCGTCTGGGGAAGTTCGAAGTTAAACAATGGCACTACTGCGAGTTTCGAGAATCGACACCCACACAATCGCCCATAGACCTGTGTAGACAAACTCAAAAACAATTCCAATAAATACGCACGCGCGTACCTACGCCCATGCCATTGTGCACCCATGCCTACGTGCGTTCACGCACGGATGCATGCATAACGTGTGCGCGCGCAAGCACAAGCCTGTCTTTCCAAAAGACCTGCGCGGGAGAAGGTTGGCGGTCCTGAAACTGGCTGGCCACCTGCATACGTAAGGCGCGGTCCTCTGGGAGGCACGCGATTCCCATGAACGCAGACGAATTGTAATCTGGCACCGTCTGAAACGTGTAGGTGCGCTGCACGGTGTAAGAGTTAAGGTCGTCAATGATCACCTCCACTCCTCTCTGTCATCCCTTGTCTCGAGGCAGACCTAAGGGGGGGATAGCAAAGAAGGGTTAGCGCATCAACTCATTAGCTAGTTTTCCTTGCGCCTCCTGGCGCCGTAGGCGGCTATGTGTCGATGAATCTTACTGGCGGCGGGGGCGACACCAGCTGCGTTCAGCTGCGTGCAGCAGTTTTTGTGCCCCCCCCTCCTTTTCCACTCCCCCCCTTTCGTCCGACCCCGTTGTCCCTCGCTCCGCCGCCCTCTCCCCCATGCCGCTCTGCGAGCTATCCGCCTTTTCCCCACCCCTCCCTTGCTTCAACATCGCTAGACCAACCCCCTAGGTTGGGCCCGCTGTTTGGCCAACTTCGCCCAGGTAGGGATAGATGCCCTCCCCGCTGGCTTTCGCGGCATCCGTCCCCACCTCGAGGGGTATGCGGTGGCGCTCCCTGGCCCACAGGGTGGGGATACGTGTGATGATGCTCATCGCTTGCCAGGGTCGATCGGCATCGAATCGGGCAATCGGTCCGGGTCGAGGTGTGCGTCGCAGCGGGCCGCAGCGGCTCCGGGACGGCCAGAAGCTCTGGATCCTCGAACCTCGATCTTTGGGGTTTCCCCTCCCCTCCTCTCGCGGCGGACGAAGGGGAAGGGGACAGCAACAGGGGGGATCAACGAATCAAAACCGCACGCAGCGGTGCCCTCCGGCCGCCTCCCGTCGCCCGGGAGGCGGCCGGTGCATCGAGGAGCGTGCGCGGGGGCGGAGCCGAAACAAACAGCGCGATGTCCTCCTCCCCCTCCTCCTCCTCCTCCTCCTCCTCCCCCTCCTCCTCCTCCTCCTCCTCCTCCTCCGCCTCCTCCTCCTCCTATCCGACCCGCCTCCTTCCCCAATCCCTGCCCCCCCCCTCCGTTCCATCCCCTCCCCCTTGCTCGACGCGCGGTGCCACGAGGGGGCCGTCGGAACGGCTGGCGCCCTCGAGTCCCCGCCCTGACCCCTCGCCGAAGAGCTGGGGAGGAGGGGCGGAAAACAGCTCCCTGCTCCAGAAGAGGCAAGAGGGAGGAGGAGGAGGAGGAGGACCAGTGTAAACCCAAGGCTCATCAACGATGTTACGATAAATCCTCCCTCCGAATTCTCCTGTTATAGGGTTATAGGTTCCTCTAACGATTTATTGCTACTGAGGGAAATACTCCACTGGAAGACAACCGTCTGAAAATCCGGACATGCGCCAAAACATATTTCTTGGGACGTCAACAACGCGAATCAACGTGTCTGCTGCGTCCTGCCGATCCTCAATCGTGCCAGAATGCCATTCCTGGGACTTCAACACGTTGTGCCCTGACAATCCTACATCGTGCCCAAACACCATTTCTGGGACGTCAGCCACAAGAGTCCTTGACATTGTTGCGAACTCTTAGCACGAATGTGCGCGGTGCTTAGTCGATAACAAAATTCTTAAAATGAGCCGCCCTCAATCCATGAAGCTCTTGCAACACTTTAGAGCAGCTGATGTGCGCGGCGCTAGGGTGAGAATCACACTGCGAAAACCGCCCGCCCTCCATCCGTGAGCTCTTGCGAACTCTCAAAACAATGTGCGCGGCGCTAAGGCAAAACTTTTGCAACTGGCCAGCCCCACCAACTCGTCTTGGGGTTCGACAGCGAGGAGTCATTTATAAGGAAAGGCAAAGGGTGAGGAGGAGGAGGACGAGGCGTGAAGAGGAGGAGGAAGAGGAGGAGGAGGGGAGGAGGGGAACGACGGCGGGCGTCGTTCGGAAGGCCTCCTCTGAGAAGGAGGGGACAGGGCGGACGATGGAGGTAAAAACACGTCCTCCTTCGGGTAGGACGAAAAGGGGGTGATTACGCGAGGGTTAGCTACTCAACTCACGTAACTGGTTTTCCTAGCGCCTCCCGTCTGTCGAGGAATGCGCCGGCGGCGGGGTGGAGACCAACTGCCCCTCTTTCCGTATCCTCCCTTTCGTCAGACCCGGCTTCTGCACTTCCCCACGGAGGCCTCCCGCATACGGCTTGAGTGGATGGTTTCGGAGGATCGTGCCGCATCGCCAATGCATCGGCGACGTCACCGACGCATCGGCGCCGTCGGCGAGCAGAGACTCGGGCTCCAAATCGAGCCGCGTCGCCGATGCATCGGCGATGCGGCGCGATCCTCCGACGCCATCTGGGAGGCCTGGACCACCCCTCCCCCTCAAGAGGCAGCCGGCCGCGCCCCCAGGACCTTCGGGCCCTCGCGGGCGCCGCTGAAGCACGCCGCGTCTGTGCCTCTGGCAGCAGGCGCGCGCGCGCGAGCGGAGGGGCAGGTTTACTGTGGTTTCTCTCCTGCTCCTCCTGCTCCTCGTGCTGCTCCTCCTCGTCCGTGAGGACGCGCATGAGATACTATTTTGTCGAATTGGCTCCAGAACATTGGCGTGGTCCGCAGACCGCCTAGAAGTGCATGAATACCGCTGTCTTGAGGCTCTCTGCAAGCTCTAACTGCTTGCAGCCACCGCGCTTGCAGCGGTTGGTGTGCGTCGGGCCTTTCCTTTTATAGCTGGGCCCCCCGACGCATCGAATCCAACGCGCACCGACTTTTGGATTCAAATACCTGCGTTTTTCGCCTTCCCAGCACAAGAGAGACCCAAGTACTGGGTAAACGGACGCACGGTTCCGTGGCACCTACCCCCTGCCGGGCGTCTACTCGCCCCATTGCCTCTCCTTGCTTTCCCATGGCGCCTGGCAGAAACCGTCGCAAGAGGCGACGATGATGCCAAATGGGCTCAAAGAGGGCCACTCTTGCCCCCCAGTCGGGCAAGGTGGTTTCCACCCCGAGCCCACGTATCCTTAACAACTGTCGCTATGAGGCTTCATGAACGCTCGCGGGGACAACACGAAGCCTTCCAGGACCGCATTGTCTGTTGAACAATTTTCATGCGATCGTCCTGTTTATCTTCGCAACATCCATGACGATCCAAGGGGTCCCCAAACAGCTCCAAGATGGCCCAGGATGCCCCCGAGACGCCGCCAAGAGGGCCTCTGGAGGCCCCAACAGACCCCCAAGACGCCCCCATGAGGCCCCACGCATGCCCCCTACAAAAATCCAATAGCCCCCACAAAGCTCCCCAGAGTTCCACGAGGCTCCCCCCCTCCCGAAACAGAGGAAACCCCAAGAGACCCCCATGAGGTCTCAAGAGGCACTGCGACGACCCCGAGAAGCCCCGAAAACATCCCGAGAAGTCCCCGAAAGCCTCCAAAGGGGCTCTGGGCAGGTTCTCGAGATGCCTCTTGATGACATCGACACACGTAGCACGCACCGTCGACACAGACTGCTCTTTATATTGATGTCCGTTCCTTGTACACCTTAGACTGCTTTACATTTTGGCGTCCTTTCATTGTCTACTTTCACTGGCCATCGCTCGGACGTCCATGCCCTGTATTTGTTTCGGTTTCGTGCGTGGTTTTTTCGCCAAATGATCAAGGATGCTCCTCGATGGTCCTCGCCGTAGGAACAATGCACACGTCCGAGCGATGCCAAGTTCAACGGCGCATGTAACATCTTCATGAATTTGCCCTGGCCCGCGGCAGCGCTCTCGAGAGCACGCAAGTGAACAGGGGACGTGAGGCGGAGATGCGGGACGAAGGCGAGGCGGCAGGGGGGAACGCGGGGAGAGAGGATGCATGGGAGCATTCATCTGCCCACCCTCTGACTTGTGCTCCACCTACTTCCTGCACAGACCCCAACAAGGAATTCCGGGGATGGACAGACCCCCCTTTAGTAAAACGTGGTTTAGTGAAAACGACCTGAGGCCCAAACCTGGCGGGCGCAAGCCTGGAAAATAACGGCCACGGCGCCCTCTCGTGAACCGAAAACGGACAATTCACTAATCGACGTGTCACTGTTGGGGGTTCTGTCCACCCCCGAGAATTACGAAACGTGTATTGCAACCTGTGTGGCGCTATACGTTTGGCACAATGCGGGTGGTCCAGCCAATGCGGTGCAATCTGTGTGTCGCACCATTCATTGCATGCCTTGCCGCACTGCAACCTCGCTAGGCCGCTATCGCAAGCTCGGTGGCGGATATGCGTGGCAACGCAACTGGTTTCAAGATGATGGCGGAAACGTTGTCGTCGCCCTCGTCCTCGTCCGTCCTCCCCCCGCCTCCTCCTCCTCCTCCTCGACCTCGGCCCCGTCGACGACATCGTCCGGCCTCCGTCGTCATCGGTTGCCGTCCGCCGCCGTCGCCGTCGTGGATCGGTCGGTCGGCCCGTCGTTGTTGAAGGTCGGTCGGTCGATCGGTTGGCGTCGTCGTCGTCGTCGTCGTCGTCGTCGTCGTCGTCGTCGTCGTCGTCCGTCGTCTGCCGGCGCCTGGGCCTGTCGGGCACCTCTCGCGGCAGACGGGGTGCGCCAGGTCGAGGCCGGCGCCGGCAGCGCCCGAGGCGTCCCTGGGAGAGCCGCGCGGCGACGGCGCACGGCCCGAAGCCGAAGCCGGCGACGCCGGCGGCGACTGCGACGACGACCGCGGAGGATGGACGACGACGACGGCGGCGACTGGGAGGAGGAGGACGACGACGAGGACGAGGCGCGAGAGGAGGGGTTCAGCCTGGATTCTGCCATAGTGTTTTTGTAGTTTTTCTTGATGTCTGTCTTTGTTGTGTGTGCGTGCGTGTGAGTGTGTGTGTGTGTGTGTGTGTGTGCGTGATGCCTTTTATTTGTCGCAATTGTTTTTGATTGTTTGCTTGCTGTGCTGTTTGAGTTCTTTCGTGGTTGCTGTTTTGTGTTTTCCCATATGGTCTTTTGTTTTCTCATGGGGGGCGAAGAGAATGAAGGAAGAGGATACGAGTGGTGAGGAGGGGGAGGATCAGATGAGAGAGGACGCACACATAGATAAATGTGTATATATATATATATACGTATCGAAAGAACGAGGGATCGGGACAGAGGGAGAGAGATAGAGAGAGAGAGAGAGAGATAGAGAGAGAGAGAGAAAGAGACAGACACATAACGAGAGAGAGAGAGAGAGGGAGAGGGGATGGAGGAGGGGCGAAGCAAACCACAATGAATTTTGATTGAAGAGTCTACGCACGCTGTCATATTGCAGGGGTGACCTTTTCACCCCGACGCCTATCAGTGTATACGTGGAGGAGGAGCCCACGAATACTACGAAGTCCCCATCCCGGGACGGGGCTGGCCAGCACGAGGACGCAGTAATATGTGGACGAGGACGCTGGCAAGGTGCAGGAGAACAAGCCGACGCCATCGCGGAAAGAGCTGGCACCAGGAAGACGCACGGGGCGAGCCCTCAGCGCCAGCTCGGCGGCATGCTGCGGCCGAGGTGTGGTGCTGCTCTTGCCTCCTAAGGGGAGGGTGCGGGGTGAGCTGGCCTCCGAACCTCCGATCCCGCACGGAGGCGAGGGGGGAACGGCACCAGTGCTCACAGCGTGAGCCCCCAAGCAAGCTGGCATCTGCGAGTGAGCTGTCCGTGCCGTGCGGAACGGGCTCTGTTCCGCGTCTGAAATGCCACATGCGGCCACTGGAGGGGGGGCCACCAACACCCGAGAAGGGACGGCGCACCGCATCAAGGTGCACATGTGCTGTGAACGTACTCGCGCCACCGGCCACATGGCAAGCCGCCGAGCGAGGGTGCGGTCCGTCTTCCCGGGGGGGGGGGGGACGAGGAGGCACGTGCGAGGAAGACGGGAGGCGCCAGACGGCATGGTAGGGTACACCTCGCCACTGCATGGTGGCGGAAGCAGAGAACGATGATGATGATGATGATGATGATGATGATGATGATGATGATGATGATGATGATGATGATGATGATGATGCTGATTATGATGATGATGATGATGATGATGATGATGACCATGACGACGATGAGGATGATTATTCTAATGATGATGATGATGATGATGATGATGATGATGATGATGCTGATGATGATGATGATGATGTTGATGAGGATGTTGATGAGGAGGAAAAGGGGGGTGGAGGAATCTGATGATGGAGGAGGAGGGGGAGGAGGAGGGGGAGGAGGGGGATGAGGAGGGTGAGGCAGGGCCTGCACCAGTACAGCATCGGCTTGGAAACCTGGCTGCCCACCTGGGCGGGCGGGTGCCAGCCAACGCGAAGCCCGGCGCGGTGGGGGCTCTATGCCGCCGCCGCTGTATGCTGCTGCTGCTGCTGCTGCTCATGCGCTCCTCCTCCTCCTCCTGCTCATCCTGCTCATGCTGCTCATGCTGCTCATGCGCTCCTTCTCCTCCCGCTCCGTCCCTCCGTCGCTCGTCACCTACACCATTTTCAGACATGTAATCAATAATGCCAGATCGCGAATTAAAGAATTTTCCAGGGCAGCGAATCATATGATGTCCACGGGCTCCGACATCGACGAGATGGGCGAATAATGATCATGGATCGCAGTGCTGAACAGCTTGAAAATCAAGTCAGATTGAGGAGGCGGATGGGCACTCCCAACTCTTTACATGTCGCGCGAGAGTTCAACGCGCGCGGGCTCGCGCTGCTTCTGGGGCCTTGTGGGACCATGCGCTTTTTCAGCAGTGCAGGGTGGCCAGGAGGCTAGTCGACTCCGTGCCAGATGGCTTCAGAGAGAGGGGGAGGGAAAAGAGAGGAGCCGGCACCTCGCACGCAACCGCAACGTTCCAAATAACATGAGAACGCAATTATTTTGCAATGCTGTCTAAACCAAGGTGAGCGTCGGGAGGAGGGGCATCCGAATTTTTCCATACCGCGCGTGAGTCCAGCACGCGCGGGCACGCGCTGCTTCCCCGCCGCGCTGTCCCTTCCGAAACTGTTGGTGCTCCCGACGGTTAAATGGTACGTCTGGGCGGCCATACCTTGCGCTGACCCTTCTGAGCTCCTGGGCCCCCCAAACATTGACGTGGACAGCGCTGGAAGCCCACCTGCCGAACCTCTTGCGTTTGCCCAGGTCTAAGACTGCCTGGCACATGGCGATGGCATTCCCAATGTGGAGGGAGTGGCTCGTGACGTGAAATGGGTAGTCCGACCGCCACAGCCGCCTAGCCAGCCAAGAGGTCCGCCGCAGTCTTCCGACGGATCAACGCTTTCGTTTTTGATCGTGGGCAAGTGTCCCTCCGAGATCCATCGCTGGGGGGCGAATCGCTGCAACTCCTCGAGAGGGCCGGGATGGGGCGCAGGTCGGACGTGGTACTGGTCCGTCTTACTGCCTTTCAATACAATGATTTCCTCGTCCACTCCCTCGAGGGACCCGCGCGCCGCTCCGTCTGCTCGGGGGGTGACGTCACCCCCGAAAAGGACTCAGCCCTGGGCCCAAGGCTTGTTGGGGCCCCACAGGTACTCCGACGCCCTTCCCCAGCTAGGCCGGCATCTCCATGGTCGCTGGGCACTTCCGGCTAGGCTTCGCGCTCACCCGTTTGACAATGGACAATGCCAGCCGTGCGCGAAAGGCTCGTTCCAGCGGGTCGGGGTGACCGGCCAGTAGATGTGGTAGCGGGCCGCCACCAGCATAAAGCGGCCCAAATAGTGGGCCGCGTGCGTCGCATGGTCCAGTGGCGCGTCCTCGTCCTTGCGCCTTTTGCGCGCTCCCAGCCCCGAGGTGGGGGTGCTGGATTCTTGCGCGCGCGAAGAGGATCTACTGCCTCCACCCAGTCGCATCAGTGTTCCTCGCTCCCATAGCCAAGTTCCCCAGGAGGTAGTTGAGGCGGACCCCCCCTCCCGCTCCTCGGCATATCCGCCATTCTCGATCCTGGGCTGGAGGCCCCCGTGGGTCTTTCTCTCCCCAAGGGCTTTTCCTCGCCCTCTTCTTCCTCCCTCCGCCGGATTTGGGCGAGGCCGGCTCTTGGGCGATGCTGCCAGTCGGTGCCAGTCCGCCGGGGGGCGGACTTCCCGGCCCCCGCTCGCGAAAGGCCACCTTCCCGGCCTCCTGGCTGGCCCCCCCCCAGGCCCAGGGGCCCCAGCCTGGCCGACCCAGGCGTTGCGGAGCCAGGCTTCGCCCGCCGCTGCCCTCGATTGGCCTTCGCTGGCCGCGGCTTGCTGCGAGCATGCCGCAGCGCAGTAGATCTGGTGGGCATTGTCTGGGGGGGCGGGTCGGGGGGCGCCCCGCGCGAGAGTGGGGGCATCCATTCCCGAAGCTAGGCGCTGCTTCCATTCTTGAATATTTCCCAGCAGGCGCAGGCATCGTCCGGCCCTGGCCGACGCGCCAGCGGTGATCCAATCCAAGGGTCGGTGATGGGTATTCCCGCGTAACCTGTGGCCAACTCGGCGTCGGTGGCCTCGCTTGCGACGCTTCCCAGCTTCGGGCGCCGAAGACAAGGTGGGCCTCTGCGCGGGGGCGCGTCGACTTCACGTCTGCACGTGAGCTCAGGTGTCCTGGCTCTCAGTATCCCCCCTGAACAGTGAAGTGGCCCCACGCGACTGCCCCATCGTCCCTGGTAAAAGAACGTTGATAAAATATTGCTGATCAAAGAATGCTATCCACATGGGTGGGGCGACCCTGCTTTCTGTCGCCCAGGTGGCCCCGCAGCCGAGCGCCCCGAGCTCTTCTGCTCTTCCAGGCTACAAGAAGCTGGCGGGCACGGAAGGCGGGGCGTCCGTCATCCTGGGTTTGGACAACCCGGGCCGCCGTTGGCGTGCCAGGTCGGCGGGCGTCCGCCTGAACGAAGTCGGCGCCTAGGCTGACCGCTCAGTCGGCGAAGCAGCGCGCCTCTCGGCCTCCCTGGCCCGCTCCCATGGACGTGGTCGCCAGGGTCGGTCTGGCGACCGACAACCCTGTGTCCGCGTGCTGTCTGCGTGCTCTCCCGAGCATCTCCTGCCAGGCCGGGTGCCCGGCTTCTTGCGCTGCTGGTTGATCTTGAAGGTCTGCCAGCGCTCGGTCACCCTATTGTGGATCTCGGCGTTGTAGCTCTTGCGCCCGGTCTTCTGAGCTCGCCAAGGGGTGCGCGGCCCCGCGGAGGGCCCTCCTTCCTCCCGCGGTTTTGGAGTGGGGCCCCAGGGTGGCGCGCCACTCGCGCGGCCTCCCTCCGGCTGGGTGCTGGGTGACCATCCTCGGGCTTGCTGCTTGGTCATGAGATGGCCGGCTGTCAGGGCCATGTCTCCCCGCTCCACGAGGGGTGCTACAGTGGGGGCTCAGCCGCGAAAAGCCTTCGACTAGAAACGGGGCATCCTTGGGGGGTGCCAGCTAGGTTGCAATCATATCCAGTTCTTGCAGGCAGAGGCGGTGCATCTTCTGCTGAACCGCCTCCTTCGTGGCCACGCTGGTGGTGCTCAAGCTGTGGTTGTGCTCGGTCCAGACACCTGCCGCCGCCTGGGAGCGCTGTCACGCCTCGAGCAGCCCGTCACGTTCATGGCCAATCTATCCTCTCGGTGGGTGGCGCGCGCGCAACTGCTGGCAGCGGGAAGGAAGAGAGTTTTGCGGCCGCGACTCTCGTCGGCTCGTCCTCGTCCGAGGAGGCTCGAGGAAGCGCGTCGAGGGCCTCTTCCACTCTGTTGGCCCCGTGTGCGCTGGCCGTCCAATCGGCCGCGCCCGTTCGCTGCAGACTCGAGTCCCCTCCTGTCTGGCGATTTCCCGTTTGGCGATCACGATGAGGACACCGGGCTGTCGGGTTCTCCATCTTGAAGATCTCCTGGGCATGCCGCGATACCTCGGCTGGAGGAATTGCGTGTGGCGGTGCTTGTGGCCCGTGTTGTTCGTGGCCCTGTAGTTCTGGATGACCTCTTGGGCGATCTTTGGGCACTCTTCGGGGGGCTCGCGGGCAGTCTCGGGCCGTCGGGCGGCTGAAAAGAAGCCAGTGCCCAAAGCCTTCAAACATCCTCAGAGCATCAATGGTTTTGGCCCGACATCGTCCGATCCGGATTCGCCTTCGGGGCGCGCCCCCCGGGGGGGGAGACGACCCCTGGCGGCTGAGGCCTGGAGAGTTGCCCGCGCAGGAAGATCCGTTCGTCGCGCCACAACTTTTCCATGGCCTCGTCCGCGCGTCCCCTTGCACTCGCGTGGCGCCTCGAGGGCGCCCGGGTCCGCGCTGATTGCTGCCGTGGCGGTGCACCCCCTCGGACCACCCCCCGCAGGGAATCCTTCATCGCTGCGCCGATTATCTTGCAAATCCCCTCCCTGAGAACTCCGCCGAAATCGCTGACGAACCAGGCCGTCGACGCCTTCCGGTTTGCGACCGCCGCGCCCCTCCGCCCCTGTGCCGCTCGGACCAGGGCGCCACCCCAGCTTCGCCCCTTCCCTGACCGCTTCTGGGGCGTACGCGCACGCACCGGGCGCGCGCAAGGCGCCCGTGACCTCCTCTGGCTGCTGCCCAGCGAGCGGTCCGCCTCCCCGCGTTTTTTTTTTTTGTTTTTTTTTTTTTTTTTTTTTTTTTTTTTTTTTTTTTTTTTTTTTTTGTTTTTTGTTATTTATATATATATATATATATATATATATATATATATATATATTTCCCAACCATCCTGTGGTGTTGGGTCCTCGTTTTGAAGAGACGGTGCCCCGCGTCTCCTCCTCTCCTCCTCCTCCCCCTCCTCCTCCCTCCTCCCCCTCTTCCCTGCGTTTCACCCACCCAGTACAGCGTTTCGTAGCCCCATAGGAGCTCCACCGAAGGCCCCAGTACCCGCGCCCGCATGCGTCTCGCACACCCAATTCGGCACACCCCTCACACGTTTCGTGGCTCCATAGGGAGCTCCACCGAAGGCCCCAGTGCCCGCGCCCGCATGCGTCACCCACACCCATTTCGGCACACCCCTCACACGTTTCGTGGCTCCATAGGGAGCTCCACCGAAGGCCCCAGTGCCCGCGCCCGCATGCGTCACCCACACCCATTTCGGCACACCCCTCACACACACGTTTCGTGGCTCCATAGGGAGCTCCACCGAAGGCCCCAGTGCCCGCGCCCGCATGCGTCACGCACCCGGCACACCCCTCACACGTTTCGTGGCCCATAGGGAGCTCCGCCGAAGGCCCCAGTGCCCGCGCCCGCATGCGTCATTTCGGCACACCCCTCACACGTTTCGTGGCTCCATAGGGAGCTCCACCGAAGGCCCCAGTGCCCGCGCCCGCATGCGTCACCCACACCCATTTCGGCACACCCCTCACACGTTTCGTGGCTCCATAGGGAGCTCCACCGAAGGCCCCAGTGCCCGCGCCCGCATGCGTCACCCACACCCATTTCGGCACACCCCTCACACGTTTCGTGGCTCCATAGGGAGCTCCACCGAAGGCCCCAGTGCCCGCGCCCGCATGCGTCACCCACACCCATTTCGGCACACCCCTCACACGTTTCGTGGCTCCATAGGGAACTCCACCGAAGGCCCCAGTGCTGCCGCCCGCATGCGTCACCCACATCCAATTCGGCACACCCCTCACACGTTTCGTGGCCCCATAGGAGCTCCGCCGAAGGCCCCAGTGCTGCCGCCGGCATGCGTCACCCACACACAATTCGGCACACCCCTCACACGTTTCGTGGCCCCATAGTAGAACCGCCGCAGGCGTGGCCCCATAGGGAGCTCCACCGAAGGCCCCAGTGCCCCGCCCGCATGCGTCACCCACACCCATTTCGGCACACCCCTCACACGTTTCGTGGCTCCATAGGGAGCTCCACCGAAGGCCCCAGTGCCCGCGCCCGCATGCGTCAGCCACACCCATTTCGGCACACCCCTCACACGTTTCGTGGCTCCATAGGGAGCTCCACCGAAGGCCCCAGTGCCCGCGCCCGCATGCGTCAGCCACACCCATTTCGGCACACCCCTCACACGTTTCGTGGCTCCATAGGGAGCTCCGCCGAAGGCCCCAGTGCCCGCGCCCGCATGCGTCAGCCACACCCATTTCGGCACGCCCCTCACGCGTTCCGTGGCCCCATAGGGAGCTCCGCCGAAGGCCCCAGTGGGTGTGCCCGCATGCGTCCCGCACACCCATTTCGGCACACCCCTCACACGTTTCGTGGCCCCATAGGGAGCTCCACCGAAGGCCCCAGTGGGTGTGCCCGCATGCGTCCCGCACACCCATTTCGGCACACCCCTCGTACGTTTCGTGGCCCCGTAGGGGTCTCCACCGAGAAGATATTCACAATTGCAGTATTCACAATTGCATATGGTTGGGTCCTTCGCCAGGATTTTTTTTTTTTTTTTTTTTTTGTTTTTTGTTTTTTGTTTTTTTTTCCTCCGCGGAGGCTCCTCGTGCCGCGAGCGGCCCTCAGCGGCCCCCTCCCTGCCAGTGCCACCTGCTCCGCGCCCGCCTTCCGGACCTATCCCCTGGGCCTCTCGGGGTGGAGGGCTCGGCTCCGGAGCCGCCGAGCGCGGGGTCTCGGCCCCTCGTCGCAGCCTCGGAAGGAGCGCTCCCTCTGGTGCGGGCCCCCCGAGTCGTCGAGGTCGAAGGTCCCCGGCAGACGCGCGCGGCCTTTTCCCCGCCCGCCCGCCCGGGGCGGTGGCGCAGAAAAAAGAGGGCTCCAGCATCGTCGGCGTGCCGCCGCCCAGCTCCTGGTGCATGCGGCCGGGCTCTTCTCTTGCGAGCCTTCCCGCCAGCGGCAGCTGAGCTCTCCTCGAGTGACCACGAAGGGCGGCGAAGCGGAACGCCGTTCCCTCCCTCTCCTGTTCTCCGCCAAGACGTCGCAGGGCGAGCCGGCGCAGCGGCCCGTGCTCCTCCCCATGGGCCAGGGTGAAAGCGACGATCGGCCGGGCGGCCGACGCTGCTCAGGTGGACTGGTCCTGTGGCGGCCGTGGCGGGGCCTCTCTCCCATGCCCCCGTGCCGTTTGGTGGCCCTCGGGGTCGTCGCGGCTGCGGCGGGGGAGTCTCTCCAAGCGCCCACTCCAGCAAAATCTCCGCCGCTCTCCTGCGAAGGTCCCCGCAGCGAATCCGCACGCTGTGCGGTTGGAGGTGGGTGCGGGCCGCCTGAGCTCTGCCAGTCTGGATCACGAGCTTCCCCCTGCCTCCCCGAGCGACGAACGAACAGCACACACCCGCACCCGTAGGGGGTTCGGAAGGAGGAGGACTGGCCATGGGCGCGGGTGCGGGTCGTCGGACCGCGGGGGGGGCTCCCGTTCGAGCGGGGTTGCCCCATCCGACGACGCACCCACTCCTCCTCCTCCTCCTTCTCCTCCTTCTCCTCCTTTTCCTCCTTTTCCTCCTCTTCCTCCTCCTCCTCCTCCTCCTCCTCCTCCTCCTCCTCCTCCTCCCCTATTGGGTATGGGTGTTTGTGTTGTTCGTTCGTCACGGAGGGCGGCACGCAGTTCCTGCCCAGCTGCCTGGCCTGCGGCTGCCACCTGGGAAATGCTGCGTCCCCTGGCCAGGTCGATCAGGAAACGGGCGTCCCATTTCAGGTGCAGCCGGATCTAGAACAGAAACGCACCCCTCAAGAACATGAGGCCCTCCGCTGGCCCAAACACCTCGAACCAGAAGACCACTCGAGGGTGCCCTCCCCAGGATACACAAGAACGTCGAACACACACGAAGAGCATTATGGTACCCTCCCCGAGCCGACCTCGATCTTTTACCTAGGCCCAGACCTAGGCCAGAATAACATCCCTCAAGAATATGGCACCCTCCGTCGGCCAAGACAAGCAGAACATCCAAGGGTGCCCTCCCCAAGATTCACAAACACATCCACCGAACACGAAGAGCACCAGGGTGCCCTCCCCGAACCGACCTCGATCTTTATACCTCGGTCCGGCTGGACGCTAGCGTGGCGTCAACAACCACCGAGACGGGTTCAAGGGCCCGACCATGCTGAGAAAGCCCTGGACGGGAGTCCCTGCTGGGGCAGCTCTGCTGACGCCCCCCTCTCGATTTCGGTCGGCGTGGGGGCCGCCCCCGCGCTGGGCGATATCCGCAGACGCGGCCCACGGTGACACAACGGTCCGAAAGATGGGGCCGACGAGCATCAAGGCCCGCGCCGTCGAAAGATCACGGCGTCGGGCAAGTTTTTTGGAAGCACCCTGCCGGGAGGAGGGGGAAGAGGAGGAGGACCAGTGTAAACCCAAGAGTCATCAATGATGTTGTAATCAACCCTCCTTCCAAGCTCCCTCTTCATAGGCCCATACGACGGTTCGTCTTCACTGAGGGAACTGCCCCGTTGGAAGACAACCGATAAAAAACCTGAGGCATGTCAAAACATTATTTTCGGGACTCCAACGCCACGGATCAACCTGACCGTTGCGTCTTGACGATCCTGAATAGTGCCAGAACGCCACCCATGGGACTTCAACACCGCGAACCAACGTAAGTGTTGCACCCTCATATTCCTGAATCTTTCCCAAGCGCAATTTCTGGTACGCTGATCATGGGAACCCGTGAAACTTCTGCAAATGTCAGACAGGAGTGTACGCGGCGCTAAGGCGAGAACCACAATTTGAAAAGGAACCACCCTCAATCCGTGAAGCTCCTGCAAGTTATGATAACGAATGTGCGAATCGGTAAGGCGCCACATTTCAGAAAGGAGCCGCCCTCAATCCGTGGAGCTCTTGCAAATTTTGATAACGAATGTGCACGGCGCTGAAACGAGAGCTACATGTTGAAAACCACCCGCCATCAATCCGTGAAGCTCTTGCAAATTTTGAAAGCGAATGTGCGCGGTGCTACAGCGAGAACCACGTTTTGAAAACCACTCGCCTTCAATCCGTGAGCTCTTGCAAATGTTGAAACTGGATGTGCGCGGCGGCTAAAGCTACAACCACCCGCTCTCCATCTTTGAAACGGTTGTCAATTTTTAAACGTCAGGGTCATCAGTGGTGAGGAAATCTCAGGCGAAACGCCCGGCCCGCCCTAAAGACTGGCCACGGGGTGCGTCAGGAAGAAATTATCTACAAGGAAAAAGAATGGAGGAGAAGGAGGAGGAGGACTCCAGGCACGCCAGAGGACACGCAAGGCTACCTACCACTTGACCCGTGCCTATGGAAAACGCGCAACAACGAAACATAGCACCGGCACTAACGCAAAGCGCAACCAACCCCACAACACACTCAACCGACGCTACCACCGAACAACATACCGCAGCAAAGTGACCGAGGCAATGTACAAGTGCACAACTATTGCTTCACACAGCAATGAGACAGCGACATCCAGCAAGGCCAGGCAGTGTAGTGGACATGGCCTCATGCCCTGCATGGGAGCTCAATGGGGCATATCTGGGGGAGAGACATCACCAGAATCTTCAGGTACTTCAGATATTAAAAAGCAAGATACATCAGTTCTACCATTCGGACATTCTTCTTATGACATCTCATCAACTTGAGAGAATCTACTTGCAGCATTATGATACATACGCCCCTTGTTCAGTCACATCGCCCATGTCGCCCCTGCGTATAGGTGTACAATTGATCCAGCGGACTGGATACAAAGAAGGACAGGGACACTACAGTAACTCACGCGCTTATTGGAAGCGATGCACATTGGGAAGGGAACGTACGTACTTATGTTCGGTACATGTACATACTCTATCACTTTCGGTCACATATTGATGAGCACATGGGTACGTACATGGACCCAGACGTACCACAGGACACATATGCACTCTCATCCTCACAAATGAGTCCTTTATGGTGCGTTTTCGTTCACTCTTGAAACGACGTTCTACATTCAAGTGATGTGGAAATGGACAAGCCACTAAGAAGGCACATCATCTGCCAGTACAATGCCCGCCCACAGCTATTCAAACCTGTTCCGTCAGCATTTCTTGGCTCCGATGCCCTAACACAACACATAATCTAACTCAGCACCTGTTTACGAAGCTACGCAGCACAAGCTACGCAACACTGTCTACGCAACAACGACCGAAGTAGTACAATCCGGACAAGAAGAGAGCACAACTAGCAGCTTCATACCCTGCGATGGGAGCCCAAACGGGCATACATGAGGGAGAAGCACACGTCGCTGACATCATCAACACCACTCAACGCATGACGACTCGGCTAGCAACCGCAACGAGCCTCATGCCGTACACAGAAGCCCTGAGGGTCATACCTGAGGAAAAGGGGCAACGTACAAAGGGCATAAATACAGCCTCGCGCAGCAACGAAACCGCGACATCCAGTAAGGCCAGACAGTACAGTTGACATGACCGAATACCCTGCGTGGGAGCCCTAGGGGCATGCCTGGGGAAAAGGCATCATCATAATCTTCAAGTGCTTGAGTGGTTCATACAGGAGACATAACACTCCTACCATTTAGACACTTCTTCGTATGACGCCTCACCAACGTGAGAGAGGATACTTGCAACATTATGATACATGCGTCCCTTGTTCAGTCACACCGAACATGTTGTCCCGGCGCACTTACAACTGATCCAACGAGTTGGATGCACTGAGCGACAGGGACACTACAGTAGCTCACGCGCCTACTGGAAGCGACATGACTTGTAAGGTAACAAACGTGCTTATGCTCGGTACAGGGACATGCCATACCCATCTCGGTCACAGATGGACAAGCACAAAGTAAGTACATTGAGAACATGCACGCATACCTTGCAATAAGACTAAAACAATCTTGCTCACACACATTCAACAAACAATGGACCTATACACACCGCTGGACACCTATATATATATATACGCATCATAACACATGTGCCATTACTCATGCGTTGTCGTTCACTCATGGAGAGGCGTGCCACATTCACTTATGGTCAAATCACCGAGAAGGCATACCTCAGCCAGTATTGCGTCCTCGCATAACAATTTGTGCCCATTCTGTCAGTACGATTCTTGGTTCCATTGCGCCATCGTTACACAGAGCCCCGGCGCAGCGCCTAAGCACCTATGTAGCACGAGCTACGCAGCGCAGTCCAAACAGCAACGACCCAAACAGTGCAACCACGACAAGAAAAGAGCACAACCAGCAGCCTCATACCCTGCATGGGAGCCCTAACTGGCATACCTGGGGGAGAGGCACATATCACTGGCATCATGCAGCATCGCGCAGCCGCGAAGCAACGACACCCAGCAAGTTCAGACGAACAACTTGGACAATTACTGCCTCGTGCCCTATATGGGAGCCCCAGCGGGCATACCTGGGGGAGGGAGCTTTCAGTGTGCTAAGGTACAAAATTTGATGCCTCAAGGCTTTGCTTCTTCTACGCGAACTATCCTGGAGACAGGTGCTCTTAGTTGCTGATGCTTATGTTCGTTGTTCAGACATATATCTGGCACCGACGTTACATTCATAGGTCCTTCCTCGACGTGGGATGGGCGTCCACAAGGTTGAGAACGCCGGGACGATAGTTCGCGCGCCTGACGAGGGATTACGATATATAACTCTCACGCCTGACGCGGATATCTCACTACTATGCAGCCCGCGCGCCTCGGGAATCGGACCGCGCAGCCGCGCGCCCTGCATCGGGGCCCGAAGGGGCATACCTGGGGCAGAGGCGTTGAGAAAGAATCATGACACGGCCCCGAGGACATGTGTGACGCATTTGATCGATTGACGGATTTGTCACCGCAATTCCATCGCATGTGTCTCCGTTGCCATCCATCCGAACCCATGGCTGACATGATCGCTCTCGCGTGCATCTCCCGCACACTGCTCCCGACGCCGCCCTCGTGCATCCCGACCAATTGCGACGGGTGCGATTTTCTGGAGGGTAAGTGGGATAATGCGCCGCGGTTTGCTTGTCTGCCGCCTTCGTCGATTCGCGTGGTGTGGTCACTCGAGGATGATGACGACATCGCGAAGCAACGCAAACACTCGATTGGCTCACTATACCGCCAATCTTCCGAGCACTGCGCCGACGGCGGCAGTGTCGAGGCAATGCTGCCGCTACGGCAGGATCAACATACTTGACCTACTACGCACGGCCACGCCAACCACGTGCGACCCTGACGGCGCTCAACCACTCCGCGCAAATGTCGAGCCAAACAAACGAGACCTGGTCGCCGAAGACGATGTCGGGAAGCACCGCGTCTACGCCTCACTGCGACTTGGCCGCGAATACCTGCCTGTGCCGACCAGCAAAGGATGGGCCAAAGCCAGAAGAGACACACCCATTGCGATTGCATACTTACCATGCAACAGCAATCACTACTTCAACTTACTATACGACCGACTCGCATCGGCCCTCAATGGCTGGAAGTACCTCTGCTCGCACCGCGACGAAAAGCTCCACTGGTCACGAAAGTCGATGGATATACCCCGATACAGGAAAGCCGACTACAGACCCGACAACCAGCCATTCATCGATGGCGAGGACGAAGGTACCCACGTAAAGCGCCACTCGTACATAGCGCATGGCAAATGCTCAGTGACGACATCGACCGCGACAAGGTACGACTCAAATGCGCGTGCTTCAATACGGGCGGCGCCGAGAAGAGCCTGGAGGAGACATTGTGCATAATGTGCCACCAAGAGCATTTCAAGGTGCGACTTCCAGATGGGCGAGGACTTCGCCATCCGCGGGAAGACCATGCGACGAAAAGAACTACGAAAGACGTGCCTTCATCTGCTCCATGACAGACCCAAACCGCGACATCGCTTCAGGGTCGGAGCTGCCCTCACTCACCAACTACTTAGCAGACGCGCTCCATGCGTCGGGAGTCTAGACCCTCCACCCACCATGGCCAACGTGCGCACTGGAGAAGAAGCCGACGACGCATCGCACCACCAGTCACTCACGAGCAGCCCAAATACGTGGAACTCGAAGACGCCGCAGACTCCGAGTGCGAACTACTCAACCAATGGGCGGGCGCTGCGCGCGTTCGCTCCGACTGCCACGCAGGACCAACGCCACCGACGCACTGCAAGCTCAAGGCACCCACTTGAGACAACCCCAAGCGGCCACGAACTCTTGGCAGCCTCGGACCCACGCCCGCCGCGGAGCTTCGCCCGAGCAAGCGCGTCAATTCCGACGACGGCAACCCCGGCGTGCACGAAGGCCGAACCCTCCAGCGCCCTACCGCGCCCTCTGGGGCCCCAGGTCACATGCAAACCGCCCCAGCACATGCAGACAGAACGCGGGTTCCGATTTCGTACCGGCTTATCTTCAGACGACGAGCGCTGCGCACTTGTGCGGCAAAATCCTGCAGAACGATACTCAACCGAGAGGAGCGACTGCGACCGCCTGGAAGTGGCGCGGGTGCGCCACATGCGCAACGGCCAAATGAAATTGTCACCGCCAGAGCAGACCATCCCACGCCTCACCTTCAAGAAAAAGAAAACTAAGCACGACAAAAGAACGTGCGACGACTGTCGCGACTGCATCCCACCAGAGCCTGCGCAGGTACCGCTGCCACCAACGCAAACCAACCATGACGAACAAGAAGATCACTGGCAAGACTACCCCAACCTATGCCACGACACTTCAGAATCTGAAGACAACGACGACAAGTGGGACCCGTGGGCCAACATGAGCACAGCATCCGACTTCCACGAAATTTGCCTGTCACTGCTCAAGCCAAACAAATACCGGGACATGAACCTACACGGCGGCTGGACTGCCTACTGGCCCTACGCCAGCGACACAGACGAGGAAGTCCAAGAATAAGACCAATGGCACCATGCAGTATACAACCACGAAGCAACTAACACATTCACATTCATATTCCCAAACGGCGACCTGCTACTACCTGGCGGGCACAGATACCTCAAGACGTACAACAACGAGATCTTCGTTCACCAAGACGGCAAGCAATACCTGCCACACCCACCACTCCGACCCGACTTCCAAGCCACGCCACTATCGACTTTCACACTACCAGTTACAACTTGCACAAAAAAGAACCAGATAAAAGATGCCATCAAAGCGGGCGCACACCAACCAATGCACGAGCCGCCCAAACACCTAACCTTCGCACGACACGGCCACGATCTGCAGGCATTTGCGGCACAATGCCGTGACGGGCTGACGCTAAGATCACAAATTGTCAAGACCTACGACCACCTCGTCGCGCTGATCGCAGGTAGACGCGCCTCGCTCGACAACGCCCAGATCGCAGCCATACGAGCAGCCGCCCAGTGGCTCGACACTTTTTTTTTCGCAACCGATTTGGCCCCCGCGCGCTCTGCGTCAGTCCACGGCCGCCGGCAGGGAAGCGGAGCCTCTCGATCGTTATTGGACAATTGCTCTAGCCAAGGTATAGGCAACAGGCCTAAAAAGAATACAAAATCCCGCACCTCGCCAGAGGTCTGGGCAATTACCGGGCCACTGGGAATCGAACAGCTATCCATTCCCCACCCTCCATGCCCACCCCCATGCCCCCCTTCACTGCGCCCAATGGCTCGACTCTTGTCACGACGAGCACGACACCATGACGTACAACTGGGCAGTCTGCCCGCGTGACACAGCCCACCTGCTCCAACGCAGCTGCAGTCCGACTGAGACACGGCGGCGCGCCACCGGCAAGCGCGACGAAGGCCACAGCTCCAACGACAGAGACAGCAACGCCAATACCACACAACAAACACACAAAAACACACACACAAAAACACACACAAAAACACACAACACACACAAAACACACACCCAACAAACAACACATGCAAACACACACACAAAACACACACAGACCCAGCAGACACCAACCAAACCACCACGACCACCACCAGCACAGCCCATCACGATCAAGCCACGCGCACCCACGCTGCCGCCATCTTGGACAGCAGCTGACACTCCGACGAGCCCACCAGATACAACCGACGCCACACACAACCACGCAGCGGAGCTTCAACCTACACAGCAGACCAACAAATCCCGTGGGCCGACGCCATCAGCAACCGCAACGCAGTACAAAACAACCTACATGCAACCAAAACAAAACGCGATCCCAAGGAAGCCTATGCCGAATATGCACATCAGAAAAACGACCACGACAATAACGACTGCACCTCACCCGAGACCCTACAAGCCACCACCAGCACACCTGGTCGCACTAGCCAAACAGACTGCACAACAGGCACCGAACACGCCCAATACCAACAACACAACAGCATCGCCAAAGACGCCCCCACCCACATTCACCACAATGATCACATGGTCACCATCACATATCTTCATACGGGGGCACCCACCACCGCCTGCACCGACTGTACCTAATACATGCCCACCAGACGAGGATATTAACTCCCAGTGGATACAAGCTACTCCATGGCGACAGCTAGCACTGCAAACACTGGCGACGCGACACACCTACTTCCCGACGATCGCCGCACAAGCTATCGCAACACACGACGAAACAGCACGACGAGGGGAACAACATATACACACCTTCAACCGACGCATCATATTCATCAGCGAGGTTGGAGACCCCACGTTCTAGGAATCCATCGACAGGCTGCGCACATGCCATGTCCGCTACGAGATCTACCTCAACAGCGTAAACGAACACACACTTGGAGCGCCATTCAGGGAGCCGCAACCTAAGCACATACGATACACAAGGCCACTCCCATGCCCAAGCCAACAACCATTACGACGAGTCAATTTCCTTAGACATGTCAACCGACCTCTACCAATCCAGAATGTACTGCAGCCTACAGCAACATCCACAACCAATACTCCATGTGGGCCAATTACCGCAAGACCCCTACTGACTAGGTAGCACGGACATGCCAGCAATCATACCGTCTATACAGAACGCTGACGTGCAATACACCTGTCCGCCTTTTCCCGCGCGGCTCTTTGACGTGCTGGTGGTATCATATGTCATGCTGGGTTGGGGCTACCCTACAAAACCCTGGGTACCAGCCCTAGGATTGCACATTTTTGTCGCGCACTTTACACGTTCTCTCTACACCTCACCACTCTATCCTTTTGTGCAAGTCGTTACACTTTGGAAGCTGCCTGTACAATACTCCTCCTCTTATGCTACCCTGGATCCTTTGCTACCCTGGATTATGATACAGGCTGCTTTCATCAACACCCCCAGTGACACCACCATCACATTCAACTACGATGGTGGCTGGGTGGCAATACGGGTGATGCGTCCTCTGCAGGTTTGGGGTTGCCCTACAAAACGCGACCCTAGAACCGCACATTACTGTACGTAAGATTGTTCAGCACCTCTCATAATGTTGAACTGTGTCTTATTACTTGCGTGGCCAGCTGACAATACATGCGCCAGCCACTCATACATGCTTCTTCTTTTCAGACTCAATCAATTTCGCGCATTTCACACGTTCTCAATTCACCTCACTACTCGATCCGTTCGTGCAAACCAGGCACACGCACGTTTCGAAGCAGCCTATACACTATTCTTCCTCTTTTGCTACCCTGGCTTCTGATACAGGCTGCTTCCATCAACGAACCCCCAGAGACAGCATCATCACATTCAGCTATGGTGGTGACTGGGTGGCAGCGCCCTCTGCAGGTTTGGGGTTGCCCTACACAACCCTGGGTAGAGGCCCTAGGATCGCACATGCTTTTACGTAACGTATGAGCGTGGCTACTTATGTGGAAGGTACTACTGACCGTCACTTGCAACACTTTAAGCCAAGCAGCCCGTGCGGTTGCCATACCGTGGCCAGCCAGCAAGACATGTGCTGGTCACTCACATACGCTTCGCTGTTTCACACATGCAGCCTGGGACACAGTCACGCAGCAACACTTTGGCGACACCTACTTTCTCGGTGCACATCATTGCAATACTTTTAAGACAGGCAGTCCGAAGTTGCCACAGTGTGGCCAGCCAGCAAGACATTTGCCAGCCATTCACACACGCTCCTCTGTTTCAGGCTCAGTTAAGCTTCAAATTCGTACATGCAGCCTCGGACACCGCCAGGCAGCAGCAATTGCTCGCGTACTTGACTATACGACTGAGGGTGTGGGGAGGAGGATCTTGGGAGGAGGTGCGGGGATTGGGGATTGTGGGTGCTACGAAGCGTCACTGCAACATCTCACATGCAGCCTCGGACACAACCAGGCAGCAGCACTTTGGAGGTTTACTACTGCGCAGCAGTAACTCATCAATTCCCACTGAATTTTCAATGGCCCCCACGTGAACAATCTGCCCACGTAAGGACGTCACATCGGGGGGTGGTGTGGGTGGAAGTGCACGATGGGTGGGTTGGGTGGACATGCTTAAGTACGTCACTTCATTTACTTGCTGCTCGGCGTAGCTCCTTGTACTCTTTTCTTTTTTCTCTTGATTTTGTTTCCAACAGAAGAGGCACTGCCTTTGAATACATCGGGGGATTACGCTTTACCACATGGGGTGCTTGGCGACTAAGGTTAGTGCCTACCTCGAAGACCTGGCGGGCGCCTACTCTTCACACTACGCTTTGCTTCGTCTCTTTTTCCCTACCTAGGCTCTGCCTAGAAGGGTTCTTACTCGGTTTGCTTAAAGGCCCGGGCAGTGGTCCTCGCCCTGGGCGGTTCCCCCAGGATCCGCCCCGCGGTCCCCCCAGTAACGCTCCCTTAGCTTAGCGTTGCTTAACTCATCTTAGCTTAGCCTAGCTTAACTTAACTTAGCTTCGCTTAGCCTAGCTTAGCCTAGCTTAAAAGCTTAGCTTAGCGCAGCATTAGCATAGCATAGCATAGCATAGCATAGCGCAGCAT